CGTCTTTTCCGTGGCCAATGGTTGATCTGACACTGTTTCAGCTGCAGAGAATATCTGACATAAAAGACAGAAAAATAATCTAGAATTGTAAGTTGACATGGTTGCTGAAAAGGCTGCAGTGGCCTACTTCAAGATATTACAGAAATCCCAAACACGTACAGAATGAACCAAGACAAATTTATGGCAAGTGACGACAGCTTCCAAATTCTCTTCTGCATATTATTATGTTCACATTCATTTCGACATTCCCTGTCGCTGAAACAGTGACTTTAAATGGTAAAATGATCAACAATCAACCATAAGAGACAGTCTTTTTCGTTATTTCCCTAAGTCACTTCACATTCGATACTATAACAAAATGCATTTACAATTCGCCACCACCAACTCGCAGCTTAAAACACGACTCATGTCTTCTAAAAGAGCAGAGACACTCAGACAGGCTACGGACTATAAGATCGGGGATCAGTTCCCGGTAACAACCGGATTTTTCTCTTCATCGCCTTGTCCTAACAGAATCTGAAGCCTCATCCAATGGGTACCGTGATCTCTTTCCGAAATAAAACGGCTGGAGCGTGAAGCTGAGCATATAGTGCTTCCATCTAGTGCCGACATTTAAATAATGCCTCCCTTATAAATCTTTGCTGGCCTGGTGCTAAAGTACAGAAGTAATTCTTTTGTTCTTACCTCTGTCTTCCATTCAACCGATACATGGCTTGCAACTGATACGGGATCTTTCATTATTGTATGAAACAAGAGCCTTTACATAAATCCACCTTGCGAGAATCACCGCATTCAGTTCTAGTCACTTGAACAGAATTCGTTGATGTAAGACTGTTGAAAGCCGGTCACGGTAGCCGAGCGGTCTAAGGCATGTACTGTCTTCTCTCGCTTGGAAACCGGGATCGTGGGTTCGAATCCCACTCAGGGCATAGATGTTTAGTTTGTGTGTGCGTTTTTCTGTGTTTGTGTACAGGTAGAGGCCTTGCGACGAGCTGATCACCCGCCCAAGGAGTCCTTCCGAATGTGTAAGATCTAGAAAAACCGAAGTGAACGAAGAAGTTCATGGAGGTAGGCCTAGGCCCACTGGGGCTGCAGTGAAAGGGGAAAAAAAACTGTTGAAAAGGTCAGTAAATGCTCATGGTGAAACCCTAACAAAGGCCAGCCTATTAGTCCTGTTGTAGGGTGTATGTTGCAAAACATGGAAAATCTTTCATGTCATCAGAACAGGATGTCCGACAACAGCTGTTTCTGATAGAGAAGCAGCTCCTAACTCTGTCGCTCTGAGGAAGTGTTTATTCCATGCAGCATGTGGCACGTGTGACGAGGATGTTTGCCGTATTAGAGAGACCCGGGTTCACATCCACCCGATACTCTCCTTTCCTACCTTTGAAAAGTATATATTTTTTCTAATTATACAGGATCTCAGAGTGATATTTCTGCAGGAAGAATGCGGACTGAGGTAGCTCGAGAAAATAAAACGCTTTAAGAAAATGTCTGTAACGGAGAAATGGGAAATGGGCTTAATAAGATTACGGTGAAAACTACATGGGAAGCAGCTTCACGATTTATGCCCTTCACGAAATGGTCATCTGATGACGTGGCGGGACATGCAGCAAGCACGGAGAGTGAGGAATACATAAAGGCTTTTAAGAGGAACTTGTGGCATTGGGAGTGCACGATGTAATGCTGTTGGTTCGTAAGAGGGTTGGAGGGCACAATAAATTACGACCTCAGAGCATGTGATGAACTTTGATGTAAGGAAACCAACGTGGCTTCATGATCGCTCCTACCAGAATGCAAGGGTAACGACGTAAAGAAGGAATTTTGGTGCTATTCAAGATGCAATATTTGTTGCGTTTGGCCCATGTCAGAATAATGTGGGGCAATTTAATGTTTTGCTATTTTGAAGTGACCACAGGCGGAGAGCCTCGTGAGAGAAATTCTGCAGGTCGAAAGTTGTTGAGCAACAGAAAATTATTTGCACTTACTGATCATAATTTTATAGATATACTAAATGTATAAAAAAATATATGTGCTCTCAAATTTTAATGGAAATATCAAGTTAGGGTCGATAAGATGGGCACGGTATGTAACATGAATGGAGTCCCCGTTTTTAAACAAATAAAGGGCGGGTGCCTGACTTGGATACGACTGGTTCAGGATCTAATCCAAGGAGAGAGGCTCTTATGAACAGGTAATGAACCTTTGGGTGTCATAAAAGGTTGGAACAACCGCTGTCAGTTCTCAAGGAATATTCTGCTCTACGGAAATGCTCTGAGAATCATTTGAGACATGTCATAAATTCCAATTTGTGCTCTCAGAAAATTAAAGTAACGTGCACGAAACCAAATTAACATTGGATTCTTCCATTCTTTGTCATGCCAATGATAAGTTGGCTACTTAATACTTGTTTTAAACACCGAAGAATTTAATGGTTTTCTGAGAAAGCCTGGTCATTTGTTTCCATTTTGCGACTACATTGGTTGCGTATACTGAATGTGATTAGGTTGAAACTGACAATGATATACTTCACCCTCCCAATCGCAACATTCCTGTACCTTGATATCAGGCTGGGTAGTTGCGTGACTGTGAAGCATAACACCCTTTTAATAAACAATCTCTTCTAAATAAATGCAAACGGCCATTTGCATTTAGAATATAAATGTCTTAAGTCACTTGATACTTCAAATAGATATTTAGCCTTGGAACTATAACAAGATAACACAATTTATTACTGAAAATGGTCCATTTATGGCACCTTAATTTAGCTTACAAAGGAAAAAAGATGATGAACATTAAATCATTGAATTCTGTGACATTGTAAAGGCTTTCGCTCATAAAATTACTCATAATTTTCATCTTACAGTTTTTATAATGCAAAAGAAATCAAGCGATGTAACAGAATTGGGCTCCTTTCGCGAGCTCCTTTACTATCGGGGGTGACATCAGTCCCGGTACGGCTGTTTTAGAAACCGCTCTTCAATAGTGCGATATGGTGCAGCTGTTTCGTTCAGTCTGTCGAAGAATGAAGAATTGTGTGCTCAACGCACAACAGGAGACTTCGCTTATTGTAAGTTACTTACTATACAGAGGCTTCCAGCGTCTTCTGACCGTGATACAATTTTTAGAAAGTGTTAGGCTCCCAGCTAAATCTCCTAGTTTTAAATAACAAAAATACTTTCTCCTGTGGTGTCTCGCCGCATGACCCGGTAGAACTTGACTGACATTTTGGAGGCACACCATATTTACATATTATTCCCTGAAAGTGGAGTCGGAAAATCCTTTCGAAACGTCGGATAACTTTGCTATGTTAAACCGTCTTTCAACTCAGAGGACGATGTCTACGCAGTCACTGCTGTGAGGACCTCAATTCACATATTTAGCAAACTTTTTAATGTGAATATTGACAAAATTGGAAATGCATTTATTTTCCAAGAAGCATAAAAGTATTGCAGACATTTAAAAATAATTCGCCGATATTCTGACTGTCTATAGAAACAGACAACTACTGAATAATTTGCCTGTTTATAGAAATAGACAACTAATGAATAATTTGCCCTTGTTTCGCTTCTGTTGGCTTCTCAGTCGTTGGAATATTGTAGTGCACACCCAAGCGTTTGTTCCACATTGAGTCTATTTCTGTGCTTAGTTTCTTTTGAAACAAAAGCGAACAGCCAAACAACACACTCTAGGTACTTAAGGAGGGGAGAAGTTTTCTCAGAACCATGTTTATAGTCCTTTACATTCCAAAAGTCGGCGAACTGAAATCTTATCTACTGATAGTTAACGGTAATTTCACGTTGGCAGCATTGCATGTTGCCACGTTGTTGAATTTTCTTAATTTTCGAAAATTCTACGTTTCTAAAAATTAGAAAAATGTTCCAGTTTTCTAAATTGTCCAAAAACTGCAAATTTTCGAAAAATGTCACACTTCCGAAAAGTTTAAATTATTTTAATTTCAGACGTCTTCTAATTGTTGCATGCCAGCATAAAATTGCTGCTACTTACATCCAAACCATTCTTGCATTTCAAATATTAATTGTTTCATAATCGTCGAACTCAAATCCATATTTATATATTAATTCAGACTGAAAATGGCTTCCGGTATAAGCTCCTGGAGTTAAGGCATTAAACCGTCAATCATCATCTATATGCAGGGTGTTTCACGACTTTAGAGGATAACTGCAGGAGGTGATTTCCTAGGTCTTTGTGATCAAAAAAGTTCATATAAACATGTGTCCGATTTTGGACGGTTACGGAGTTATGACCTTTTTTCATTCCCGTTCACGCCCTCGTGTGAACCGCGTCTATCATATGGCGGGTCGCTATTTTTAGCCAGCTACAGACAGAGCGTTCTCGTTATCTCGACATTTGAGAGGTACCTAAGGCGTGGTGGGTTGGTATATCCAGCTGAAGCTGATATGTGCTACCCGCGCGGTTCACAACCAAGCGGCAGCCTGTGTTGCGGCCGGCGGTGACATTTTCGAAACTCAGCTTTAAGCACCAATAAATTCAAATTAAAGGTAATTTCACGAAGTTAACTTTACATTCGTACTTTAAATGTATCATGCATTAAGCTGCTTTATTATTTTGTTCCGTTTATTGTCAGTAATCGTTACCTTCTATTCTGAGTTTAAAACGGTCATAACTCCGTAACCGTCCAAAATCGGACACATGTTTATATGAACTTTTTTGATCACAAAGACCTAGGAAATCACCTCCTGCAGTTATGCCCTAAAGTCGTGAAACACCTTGTATAAGAAACAAAAATAACCAAATATGAATCTAATTATATAAACATGAGGCATACCTGCATGCGCACATATACACAACTCAACAAACATAAATGGAAATGTATGCCTTGAGGTATTAAACTGTAAACTATATTTACTGTGCAATTAGGTGGAAAGGGGGAAGGGTTGGGAAATTCAGCAAGCAGCATTGAGAATATTTCTTCGAGAGTTTCAACAACCCCTCTTAGCACCGGAAGGGTACGTTACCTGGCGCCGTGGACTGAAACATTCCTGTTGAAGCGTAGTAAGAGGAGTACGTTACCAGACACATTCCCAAAGTTGCAAGTACCAGAGGATGGAACACACGCACCTGGTACGCCATCAGCTGTAAAATGAGGGGCACTCTATCAGATGGCGTATATCATTTGTTCATATTAACTCCTTCCGTGCTAGTTATTACGTAAGGAAGCTTTCCCTGTTAATATTTATATTTACTTTCATGATGACGTGTAGTTCTATTGCTGAAAATTCACGATTGACTGATATTTCAAATACAAATGCTTCCACACATAAAATATTGCTGTTCTTTGAGATGTTTGGTATGTAGCATGATAAAATTTCGCCGAACCCATTCAAGCCATATTTTTCATCTCCATAGGTTTACGTGGACATAATAATAATAATAATAATAATAATAATAAGTTACTGTTTATTTACGTGCCAACTTAACAGCCCAGAGGCCAATTACGGCGTTAGTACGAGTAAGAAGAATGAAACGACAAAAACAAACATACAAAGTAAGGCATATTATATAATAATAATAATAATAATAATAATAATAATAATAATAATAATTCCATCCATTTCTTTATTATTAATGTGCCCAGTCAACAGCTACAAGGCCAATTACAGACAGCACATAATAGCAATAATGATAATAATTCAATTAAATTCATTTCGTGTTTACTTACGTGCAAACTTAACAGCACAGAGGACAATAACAAAGTTGGCACGAGTACATAGAAATACAGATATAACTAAAAGACAAAATACAAATAAGAGAGTCTACATAATGGCATTAAATTAATAATAATTCCAAGAAAAATTAAAGTTAGCATTAACAGGTGAGAAAATAAAATAATTACATTTCGAATGGTTATTCCATTATTTGGTGAGAAAGGACAATACATATACATACAGACATAGAAGTTAATAATAATAATAATAACCAAATTAATTCTTATATTAATAAAAATAATAATAAGTCCGCTAAAATTTTAAGTTGTCAAGAAGGAAGAAAAGTAAAATGTGTACATTTGCAATGCGGCAATGCCACGATGCGACGAGAAAGGATTTTACACATACATACATACATACATACATACATACATACATACTTACTTATATAAATACACGCGGCGTACAATTAGTGTTTTAATATGATGCAAGGGCTATTATAAAATATGATTCAGGAGAAAGTTTTTGACTCCAAATACGTCAACGTCCCTGATAATAATAATTTGATTCAATTCTTTATTATTTATGTGCCGAGTCAACAACTGCAAGGCCAATTACAGACAGAGCACAGCGTAGTTAAAAGTAATTACATTATGGACAAACACAGCATAAAGACAAAGACAAATTACAGGGAACAAATGGAAGAAGAAAACATATTGATACAGAAAAAGTAAACAAACAGAGATCAAGAGTGATAACAAGAACATGATAACTAAGAACTGCTTAAGACGGAACATTAGGATTATGAACAATTATTAACAATATTAGGTACATGGGTATAAATGTGATTGAGAGAAACGGCTCAGATCGCAAATACCTCGAGGCAGTTACCCTCCACGTTGGTAGCAAAGGCGCACCGAGCAGAAGGACAGTGTTTATCAGAAGAGCAAATACAAAAAAAGAAGTTCCTAAGATTGCTTATCAGAAGAGCAAACAAAACAGAAGTTCCTAAGATTGCTTATCAGAAGAGCAAACAAAACAAAAGAAGTTCCTAAGATTGCTGGAAGGAACACTCAGGCTGACATTTTCCAAAAGGGAGGCCACGATAAGCGTGAATCTTAATCACGCTCAATTATAACACAATCACTATTCTACACACTTTCAGTTCACCGTTGCACACGCACTAGAATTACTAGAATTCTCCGTCTTCACTAGTCGCCTCCTGGCAACGGATATCAACACAGAAACTAACAGTTATCACTATGAAGGTTTCTTGTTGTTTCGTCTTAAATTACTCTGTACTCCTGTGTCCTAATCTGTACTCAAAAATTCACTAAGGACATGCTCCATTCTCGTTCTTGTACTGTCAACTGCGTCTAGCTTCTGAATTCATGTCTTTTATAAGCATTCTGCACAGACCTCAATGGAAAGCACAGTCTCTATTGTTGATGACGTCAACGCGTTGCATAGCATGGTCCGATAAGCGGAAATGTGTTTACCGAGCCGTTGCCTAGGGACGGATTGCATAACCCCCTAACTAACAACAATTTTTAAATTCCTGTACATAGGTTTTCCTTGTCTCTTCAGTAGATTCCTCAGATAGTTCCTTATGACCTCTCTGTTCTGCAACGTTCACATTTCATTCATAATTTTGCCGTGACGATGGATGAGCAACCCTGTACCGCCCACTCTCCCCCTTATCCAACCCCACCTGCTACCTTTATCACCCTTCCTCAGGCGAAATGTTCTTGAACCTCAAGGACCTGCTTGTTGAGGCTTGATAATTGGAGGATGACTGTAAAATTCCGTCTGGTTCGGGGATCTAAAAAATTATTTCCGTCTAGTTTCGGCCTCCTGCTAGTTAGCCGGTTCAGAAGCCATCTTTCATTGTAAGTCAGGTTCGGATCCCTAAGATTGGGACTGTGAGTAACGTGTGGGCTGCTCTTGGTTTAATTCTTTGGTTTTATTTCTCGTTAATATTGCCGAGTAATTCCTGGTTTCATTTATTGTTAATATGTTTAACCACATCTTACATGGGTATTGTGTGTACAATTTGACTTGATTCAGGATGCCTAAGGAAATTTATCCACATTCTTTTTTATTTTTCGTGAGATTGGTAATTTGTGATGTCCATTTTGAAAATTTCTGACTTTACAAGTAAATTAACCAGTACCACGAAAGGTTAACACCTGTCCGCTTTACTTGATAGAATATAAGTTACTAAAATGTGTATACATTTTTGGGGGACACTCTGTATATTAAACTTTAAATTAGGATAGAAAGAATCTTCCACCTTCGTGTGTCTCCCATATTTTACTGACGGCCATCCTACCCATGGTAAGCAAATAGTACATGTATATTCAGGCGGTGTGTGAGTGGGGGTTGGGGGGGGGTCCTACTGAGCAATCGTCTTATCATTCAACTTCTAACTGTGCATTAAGAACCGGTTTTCATATCTTGAGCTCATGAAGGAAAAAAAAATAGGTAAAGTTGTTCCTGTGAATAACTAATTAAACATTACGCCATGAAGGTGTACAGACCTCAAGTTTTCTTGACCTCGGCACTAGTTGGAGGTGGGTGGTTAGCTTCATGCCCCGGACGCTTTACCCCCCGGGTACCCATTGGATATGAAGCTGGGTGGCCCCAGAACCGGTCTTGACATGGAAAAGTGAAAATTCTTGTCTCCATCAGGACTCGAATTCCGATCCCTTGGTCGTCTAGCTTCGTAGGCAGTCGCTATACCGACTGCGCTACCCCGACTCGTAGAGTGCATGCATTAAACTGCTAAAATACCGCTTCACTACTGTCTTCTTCTTCTTCTTCTTTCATCTCTTGTGCCTCCATATTTCTGACAAATGCTTGGGAAAGGCCGTCTGATCCTACAAATTGCGGTATTTCTTGTGCTAACCGCAACAGCCTCTGCACACATACCAAATCCCTCTTGATAATTTCATGTAGAATCATTGGAGGTAAAAGTTCTGAAAAAAAAATAACGTGTCTGACTTGATTCGGTAACCACGAGNATATATATATATATATATATAGGCCTATACTATCGTAACCAGTGGATACCAGGGACTCTTTCCATGGTCTTGAAACTGACCACTCACATTCGTCTAGGGCCGAGGTTAAGTGTGCGCTGAGTTACGTAACTGTGTACTCCCTTGCGTCTTAATGGCGTGCTGCTTAACTAAGCACGGGAGACACTCTGCTTTACCTTGTTTCTCTTGTGAGCGCTCCTTTTTCTCGATTTAATTAGCGCAGTCAGTATAGTGACTGGCTACGGACTGGACGACCGAGGGGTTGGAGTTCGATTCCCGGTAGAGTCAAGAATGTTCTGGAAGCCCATGTGTACTTAGCTGAAGCACCGTTAGTTGCTCTCCTTTACTCAGACTGCGACGGGATACCGGGTGCTCGGCTGAAACTCTAACGCTTGAATTGAATTCGAGAGGAGACCGATTCGAGTCTCCGCCGGAGAGTCGACTATCCCGAATAAGATAGCGGCCTCCGTAGTCTAGGGGTAACGTTCCCACTCAAGGTACGCGGGTTCAAACCCGGCGGAGGTCGTAGAATTTTTAAGGGCGGAAAAATTCAGGGAACAAGTCCTNCAATAACTGGTCTAAGTGCATGGGGACACCCACCCCCTCTAATAATAATAATAATAATAATAATAATAATAAATCCTGAATATGATTGTGTGATCTTCCTCAGTGTCTCCAGACAAGTACCGGAATAATATCTCAAATTGGATCATGACCACCGCCCCCTCAACACATTCCAATTCACTCTTCTTTAAACGCCCTATCATTCGACACTGTATAGTCTGAGACACTCACAGCGCCCTTAAATAAGTAATGAATTGTAATAATAATCATTATACTCGAAGTCCACTGGGACCAGGAATGGAGACGTCACAGCCTGCGAAATATTCAATCCAGACTATGGGGATGCAACTGCATCTATAGCAGGATGTGGGGAATTCCACTGTGATCTGATTCAGGTACTTAAGCTATTGAATATTTACATTTCATTCTGAAAAAATAAATATTCAGATTGTCATCAATTTCTTAACGAGCTGTAGTCGATTATTTCATGTTTGGATTTACATCAGAGGAACTGAAGAATATTAATCTTATTTGTTTAATTAATGAAGGTCTGTATGGATGGGGCATGAGATCATTGGATTCTTTTCAATTTACCTAATCCTTCCAGCTGCACTACAGCCCTGGGGTCGACTCAGCCTCTAACAGAAATGAGTACCAGGAATATTCTTGGAATGTTCTTGGGGGTAAAGGGCGGCCGGCAAGTAGGGCTGACAACCTTGCCGCCATCTATGAGCCGATTTTCTATAAATTGTGGGAACCTCAACATCTCACAACACTACGGGCCTCCACGGCCTGTTACAAGAATAACTTTACTTAGGTTATA